CCCTTACTATACATAAAATAATTCATACTGGAGAAAAGCCCTACAAATGTGAAGAATGTGGCAAAGCTTTTAATCGGTCCTCACACCTTACTACACATAAGAGAATTCATACTGGACAGAAACCCTACAAATGTAAAGAATGTGGCAAATCCTTTAGTGAATTCTCAACACTTACTAAACATAAGATAATTCATACTGAAGAGAAACCCTACAAATGTGAAGAATGTGGCAAAGCTTTTAACCGATCTTCAATCCTTAGTATACATAAGAAAACTCATACTGGAGAAAAACCCTACAAATGTGAAGAATGTGGCAAAGCTTTTAAGCAGTCCTCACACCTCGCTGGGCATAAGCATGTTCATGGTGGACAGAAACCCTACAAATGTGAATCATGTGGCAAAGCCTTTAGTATATTCTCAACCCTTACTAAACATAAGATAATTCATACTGAAGAGAAACCCTACAAATGTGAAGAATGTGGCAAAACTTTCTACCGATTCTCAAACCTTAATACGCATAAGATAATTCATACTGGAAAGAAACCCTGCAAATGTGAAGAATGTGGCAAAGCTTTCAACCATTCCTCAAACCTTACTAAACATAAACTAATTCATACTGGAGACAAACCCTACAAATGTGAACAATGTGGCAAAGCTTTTAGGCGGTCTTCACATCTTAGTAGACATAAGATAATTCATATTGGAATTCATACTGAAGAGATTATACAAATGTGAAGAATGTGGCAAAAGCCTCTTCCCTTACTAAAGAATGTGGCAAAGCTTTTAATCAGAACTTCACCCTTACTACACATAAGATAATTCATGCTGGAGAGAAACCCTACAAATGTGAAGAATGTGGCAAAGATTTCTATTGATTCTTATACGTTACTAAATATAATTCATATTGGAGAGAAATTCTACAGATGTGAAGAATGTGGCAAAGGCTTTAATTAGTTCTCATCCCTTACTAAACATAAGAGAACTCATACCATAGAGAAATCCTACAAATGTGAAGAATGTGACAAAGCTTTTAACCACTTCTCAACCCCGCCTACGTATAAGATAATTCATGCTGGAAGGAAACCCTACAAATATGAAGAATGTCTCAAAGCTTTTTACTGATTCTTATACCTTACTAAACATAAAATAATTCATAAAGGAGAGAAATTATACAAATGTGAAGAATGTGGCAAAGCTTTTAACAAATCCTGTCCATTACTAAACATAAGATAATTCATACTGGAGAGAAAACCTACAAACGTGAGGAATGTGGCAAAGCCTTTAGCTTGTCCAACTTACTGTACATGAGATAGTTTATACTTGAGAGAAGCCCTACAAATGTGAAAAATGTGGCAAACCTTTTAACCAATCCTCAATGCTTGTTACACATTAGATAATTCATGCTGGAGAAAAACCGTACAAATGTGAAAAATGTGGCAAAGCTTTTAACCAATTTTCAAACCTTACTAAACATAAGATAACTGATACTGGAGAAAAATCTTAGAAATGTGAAGAATGTGGTAAAGCCTTTATCCAGTCCTCAACTCCTACTAAACATAATTAATGATGGAGAGAACCCGTACAACTGTGAAGAATGTGGCAAAGCTTTTAACAAGTCCTCAAACCTTATTGAACAAAATAATTCATACAGGAGAGAAACCCTACAAAAGTGAAGAATGTGACAAAGCCTTTAACCAGTCTTCAAGTTTTACTAAACATAAGAAAATTCATACTGGAGAGAAACCCTATGATTGTGAAAAATATGGCAAAGGTTTTAACTAGTTCTCAGTTCTTAACACACATGAGATAATTCATACTGGAGAGAAACTCTACAAACAAGAAAGATGTGGCAATGCTTCTGACAACACCTCAAACTTTTCTAACCATAAAAGAAATCATATGAGTGAGAAATCCTAGAAATGTGGAGAATGTAACAAAGTATTTAAATGGTTGTCACACTTGATTATAGGTAATATACTGGAAAAAATTCCTACAAGTGAGAACAATGTGGCAAAAATTTTTAACTAATACATCTTATTGCACAGAAAATCATTTATATTTGAGAAAAATTGTACAAATATAGACTATGAAAAAGACATCAGTATCTGCTCACATCTTAACACCAGAGAGTTCAGGCTTAATAAAAGCATGATAAGTGCAATTACTGTCAAAAAATCTTTCAGAAAATATTATCCTTTAAAGTGAAGGAGAATATATTAAAGATGAACATTACAAACATAAAGAAGGTTGTAGTACTTTTACTTGTATCGGATCTTATTGTCCACATTTTGTACTAGAGAAAAACTCTGAAGGGGTTGCTCAAACTTTATTCAACTCAGGGAATTTATATTGGAGAATTGTCTTGCAAATGTAATAAATTTGGGAAAAGACTTTTTCAAAAACTACAGCTTAGAAAACACCAGAGTTTATACTAAAATATATTTTCAAAGATGTAGTAAAAATAAAAAAAATTCAATCCAAATTTAAGTCTATGTAAATACCAGAATTTATAGTAGAAATATATGAGGAACTGACACTTCGAATATTCTAAATCAGAGTTCTGAGTGTATAAAATAATCTAAAACTAAAGTCGGTAGAAAAATTATTTGTATATAGTGTTAGGAGTAAAAGATTTGCAGAGTAATAACTATATTCAGATCATGCATTCTTGAAAAAATTACAGATTTTTTGAAAAGCAAATGATGTAACTCTTTATTTTCTGCTGTTTCTTTATTCTTATTGACTTGTGAAAACATGTCATCATTTGTTGCCGCATCAGAGGTATGAGAGATTCTTTTTCATTAGGTGGGCATTATTTATTATCTTTTTTATGGATGAGTAAGAGTATTAAAATGTAAGATGTATGATGAAAATCTAAGTGGAGAGGTTCTTTGTGGTTAACTTATACTATTGAGTGATGCACGAGTAAGGTGTTAAGAGTAATATTCTTTTGCATTATGAGAAAACTAGTAGTACATTCGTATGTTGTACTAATTGTGCTTTTATGTAATAAAATGCAGTACATTTTAAAATTTTTAGATTATGTGTAAATGTAACTGTTTCAACATTTTTAACATGGTAAATATTGTGCATTCAATGAAGTGTTATTATGCCAAAAAGGTTAACCTTTTCCACCTTACCAAAAGGCATAGGTAAAAGATGGTAGTAGTATACTATTTGGTAATATAATGGACTAACATCTGTAGTCATCTCTTTTGCCAGTGGCTTCAAACTGCAAATAAGTTAAAGAATATTGTTCTTATAGGTTAAATTTTTATTCTTATTTTAATCATTTAAATTTATTTTTCTTAATTTTTGTGGGTACATGAGTGTATATACTTATGCCATATATGGCATATTTTGATACACAAATACAATATATAATAATCACATTGGGATACATGTGGTATCTATCACCTCTAGCACTTATTCCTTTGTATTACAAACAAGCCAATTCTACACTTTTACTTATTTTAAAATGTACAATTATGGCCAGGTGCGGTGGCTCACGCCTGTAATCCCAGCACTTTGGGAGGCCAAGATGGGTGAATCACTGGGTCAGGAGTTCGAGACCAGCCTGACCAACATAGTGAAACCCTGTCTCTGCTAAAAGTACAAACAATTAGCTGGGCGTGGTGGCAGGCACCTGTAATCCCAGCTACTTAGGAGGCTGAGGCAGGAGAATCACTGGAACCTGAAAGGTGGAGGTTGCAGTGAGCTGAGATCGCGCCACTGTACTCCAGCCTAGGTGACAGTGTGAGGCTCTGTCTCAAGGAAAAAAAAAAAAAAATA